GTTTCAGCCTTTTCCACCATCTGCACAAGTCTTGTTTTCCCAGCACTTGACAATTCCCAAGGATCTCGCCTCACCAGAAAGTGTCTCATCCTAGACCCTTCTCTGCATTTGGTCTGGGGGCCCCCACTTCCCACAGTACTCTCAATTTTTGTTTGCACGTTAAAATCACCTGCGGAGCATTTTAATTAAGCAGAGGCTTAGGTTTTCTCCAGAGTAAATAAAAATCTTTAGGGGTGGGCCCAGAGTATTGGTATTTTTTTCAAATAATTTTTATATGTACCCAAGTATAACAGCTAGTACTAGTCCATATCAATTTCTGTCAAATTTCAATGTGCACACACATAGCCTGGGAATTTTAATAACGTGCATGTGTTGTTTCAGTAGGTCTGGATGGTGCCTGAGATTTTGCATTTCTAATAAGATCCTGATGATGACATTAACATTGGCCCATGGACCACTTTCTTTTTTGTTGTTGTTTTTTTAATTTTCTTTTTTTTTTTTCCTTAAATTCTTTTATTGGTACATTTTAGGTATACAATAAGTTTACATTTATCATTGGGTGCTTGTACCTGTACATGATGTATCTTGGTTCTTATTTTTTCCCCATTACCTGTGCACCCTTCACCCCCTCCACCCTTCCCTATTTACAAAGATTTTGTTTCCATTTCTTCTTTTTCTCATAATTTTTCCTTAGCAAATGTAAAGACCAGAAGTTCTCAATTGTGGTCAAGAATCATCTTGGAATTTGTTAGAGATGCAAAATTTCAGAGCCTTCTCCAGACCTACTGAATTAGAAACTCCGGGCATGAGACTCAGCAATCCTTGTTTTATAAAGCCTTCCACATGACTCATGTTTGCTACAGTCTCATAACTATTGCCTTAGGTAGCGTTGTCCCACAGAAATACAATGTAAGCCATATATGTAAATTTTAAATTGTCTAGTAGTCACATTTCTAAAAGTAAAAAGAAAAAAGCCAAGTTAATTTTTTTGGGGGGTGGGGGGTACCAGGGATCAAACTCAGGACCTTGCGCTTGCAAGGCAGGCAGCAGAATCAGAGCTAAATCATCATCCCTAGCCAAGTTAATTTTAACAAAATATCTTTTTAACTCAATATGTCCAAAATATTGTCATTTCAACATGTAATCAATAGAAAATTTAATGATGGCTTACCTTTTCATATTAAGTCTTCAAACTTCAGTGTGTATTTCATTTACCTAATGTTTCAATTCTGACTAGCTACATTTTAGGAACTCAATGACCACAACTAGTCACTATAATGGACAGTAATGTTCCAGAATTACAAAATGATTATAACATTAATTTTTATCAAATGTTTGCTACATGTCAGGCATTACTTGGGCATTTTCCATACATAATTTATATAAACCCTACCAAAACCCAGTGGATTAGTGCTGTTCTTATCACCATTTTTTCCAACAGTGAGTGGAGCACATGCCAAAACCCTTTTTAATCCTTTACCAATATAGGAAGCTAACTCCCATATAATCCTTTCTCAATTATTTTAAATCAGTATTTCTAAAAGAAAAATATGAACAAAATCAACACTAATACAATTAGTATAATTGTTAAAAATATCAATAGTGTATAAAAGTCATAATAGTTCGGTAAGTAAAAAAGTCAGAGTTTACTATTCTCTAACCTTTTAAAATGTACTCAAAGTCCAACTCATATTCTCCATGACATTAAATCTGTTGAAAGATGCTATGAAAGGGCTTCTTGGGCAATCAGGATTATGGAGGAACAAATGAGACCTTGGCAAGGCTGTACAGCAAGATGGGGGCCATCCTAAATTGAAACAGGAAGCAAAGCCAAAACCTGTATGTTTAAGTGCAAATTTTGACATAATATGGCCAATAGGTGAAAGTGAAGCAATGAGCTTCTCTTAGAATTGATATGGAAAGCAAGCTGTTTGAAATTTTAAAATAGTACTTTATGTACTGGCCATACAGTTAATCTCTGATTTTTCTTAAATGTCCATATTTTCTCAAGAAAGGCCAATTTATAAATGTATTTCCTTTTTGTCACAAACTATTATAAGAAGGGAAAAGTGAAACTTTTTTTTCAAAAATTTGACTGAGTCTATGCTTTCAATTTTTTTTTGGTACCGGGGATCGAACTCGGGTCCTTGCACTTGCGCAGCAGGTGGCTAAGCCACTGAGCTAAATCCCCAGCCCTATGCTTTCGATTTTTATGGGGAGAATTACCATTCAACAAGACAAATAAATATTTTATTTTAAAACTGGTAGATATTTAAGACATGGTAAAAATGTGATTATTTAAAATAGACAAAAATGCCTCATTCTCCAGTGATTTTTTAAACCTGGTGTATATTTTGAAACAAAATTAATCTTACTTTAAAATTCTAATTTCAAATGTAAGTTGTGGTTCTATTTTTCATTGAAATATCAGGGCCGGGGATTTAGCTCAGTGGTTTCGCCGCCTGCTGCGCAAGCTCAAGGACCCGAGTTCGATCCCCGGTAGCCCCCCCCCAAAAAAAGAAAAGAAATATCCACATAGTGTTAATATATGGTGTACTGAGCTGAAAGATTTCTTTAACATAGTTCTCAAAATAGTCTTGTGATTCTTTTTTTAAACTCATCATACATAGTCCTCAGTATTTTCTGTAGCCAGCTCTAGTGTCTTTAATGGCAAAGAAAGGATAGGGTTTGATATAAGCATCAGTAACCAACCCTCATAATATCAATTATAAAACACATCAGATCCAATACATATTTTGTATTGGATTCAGATTGGAGAATCTTCTTGCGCTTCCTCAATAAGCAGTATTTTCTGCTGTTTAAACATTCTCTGTGTTGTGGGGAGCAGGGAGTGGATAAGATTCAGGGATTTCATCTACACAGAATAAAGGCTTTCAGAAAATTCTTCCCTGTTCCACTGTTGTTGGGAGTGTAGACTGGTGCAACCACTATGGAAATCAGTATGGAGATACCTCAAAGAACGAGGACTGGAAGTCCAATTGGACCCCACTATTCCCCTGCTGGGGATCTTCCCCAAAGAAGTAAAAGAATCATACCACAGTGATGTATGTGTGCCCATGTTCATAGCAGCACAGTTTGTAATAGCTAAAACTTGGAAACAGCCCAAATGCCCATCAACTGGAGACTGGATAAACAAAATGTGGGGTTTTTTTTTAATAAAATGGAGTACTACTCAGCCATAAAAAATGAGAAATTAGAGACATTTATAGCTAAATTGATGCACATTGAGGTGATACTCTTAAGTGAAATAAATAGGACACACGTGTAAATATTGAATAGTTTCTCTAGTGTGAGAAACTGAAAGTGTAAATAAGGACCAAAAGGTATAATAGGTAATGTGAAATAGGAAGAAAAGGGGCAAAGGGGAAGGGGAAGTGAGAGGGGTAGGGGAAAGGAAAGAAGGGAATGGAATTAATATGAGAAAATGAAAAAAAGGAAGCAAAGTCTTTGTAAATAGGGAGGGATGGAGGGGTTGAAGGGAGGGCAGGGGAAGGGGGAAAAATAAGAACCAAGAGAGACTATGGAAAGGTGCAAATTTCCAATGATGAATGTCACTATGTTGTATATCTAAAATGTACCAATGATTAAAATGAATAATTGATAATGTGAAATAGGAAGAAAAGGTCCAAAGGGGTAGGGGAAGTGGGAGGGGTAGGGGAAAGGAAAGAAGGGAAAGGAAAAATTATGAGAAATGGAAAAAAGGGAAATAAAGTCTTTATAAATAGGGAAGGGTGGAGGGTTCGGTGAAGGGAGGGCAGGGAATGGGGAAAAAATAAGAACCAAGATGCATCATGTAAAGGTCCAAGTTCCCAATGAGAAATGTAAATGTGTTGCATACCTACAATGTACCAATAAAAGAATTTAAGGGAAAAAATTTCTTAACTGTTTTCTTGATAAGGTAACTGCTTTTCCTTCTTAGTAGTGTAGGAGAAGGAAGAATGTAGTAAAGAAGATGCATGGTCCTTTCTTTCAGTCTTGCTAGAAAGAGATCTCAGTCTTGATGTCTATGTTGAAATCTATCATTTCAACAGTCTTACCACGCAAAAAATAAGGCAGAAAAATATGACAAATTCCATTTTTAATTTATTCTTTGTTTCCTCGGTGTGCTGTTAGCCTCTGAAGGGGAGGGTGCTGCTTATGCTTATTCTGCTCACCACTGTATTCTCAGAATACCTGGCACACAGAAGTGCTTGCCACATTAAGTATTTGATAAGTGAATGCAACCTCTAGATCTTAGCCATTAATTCTAGAAACAAAATGAAGGTTCAAAGTTTGCCAGTCATTGTTGGTGACCTAATGTGAAGTATTCATTGGTCCATGGAGACAGAAAAAGGGCTCAGCATCTGTCTGCATCATGTCACTGAATGGTCTCCAGTCTCTGCCAACAGATAAGAAATGTCAACAGCTTAACTCAATAGCTTTCAAAATAGCATAGTTGATGAAACTGGAAATTTAGTGGAGTGCTAGAAAGAAACTATTTGTCTTCAGCCTTAAGGACAAGCTAGCAACAGATGTTCCTACCTGAGAGATCTAAAATGCTATTCTAAGACCCACAGAAGAAAAGTCTTCCTTCTCAATAAGTTACAACATCATATTTTCAACAGACCAGGTAAATCCCTTTCAAAACTTGGGAATTGTGGCCAGGCATTGTATTTCTTTAAGATTCCAGCCAAGTTTGTGTGTGTGTGTGTGTGTGTGTGTGTTTAATACTGCTGGCAATGTTCCTCAAAAATTTAAATGAATATTTGCACAATGAACCAAGTTGTGGATTTCCTGGTCTGAGGCGCACCCCCCCCACACACACCTCCCTGGGTGGGGGGTGGTGATTCAGGGAAGGCATTTTCATCCCTTCACAGACAAGTCCGGCTGCTGTTAATGCTGAAAATAGCTCAAATGCTCTCTGGACAGTAGCACTACCCAGCAGCTGGGATTCTTTCCCTCTCTTATTTGCCTTCTCTCCTGCCCTTTTTTCCCTTCAGACACTTGGATTGGACTTAATCTTAAACCTCTGGAGTTCAAGACCTTTTAAAAAGGGCTAAATAAACAATCTCTACATGTAAAAGGCCACTGACTGCTACTTCCTCTGAAGAGAGCAACTGGGAACTCAGCTGCCTGTAGGTAAGATTTTTACTCTAGCATTATTTGTTTTCTGATGTGTTCATTAGTAATGTTTTCAAAATAACTTATTTACAGTAAAAATAAGGGAGACTTAAAATGATTCCCAGGTAAATACTGTGTTCCAGCGCAGGGCAATAGCATCGGTGCATTTTTGTGGCTGTAATTTTAAACTTTGCCTAAAGCTGTCTACAGTACTTGTTGCCATACAGTAGTAGTTGAGTGTTGGGTCACAACTCTAATTAGACTTGATTGCCACTGCTGGGAGAGGACTTCTCAGACATCATAATTTTGTTGTTTACATTGTTTTCCTATTTTTAACTTTCTAAGGGCATTTTCACAAAAAGGAAAAAAAAATGCAATCACCTGAATACAAAGCTGTATTAGTAATTGCTCCTCAAGGACAATGAGTTAGCTATATTATATTATCTGTTCCTTTCATCCTTAATTTGTTTAGTGCTAATATACAGTTAGGATAGTTGATTTTTGAGGGGATTTTGTTTTTGTTTTTATATATTTGTAGAACAATTTATGTGATTTAGTTTTGAGACTATTTTACCTAAGCTGAATCTTAGCAAAACTCATTCTTTGGTAGGTACAGTTGCTGGCAGTTTTCTCTAATATGATCAAAAAAAGAAAAAAAAGCCATTTTGGACTCCCCCCACTATGCCTGCACTTGACATTTTGCAATGTACTTTGATCTGTGGACTTTAACTTCAAACACAGCATTTACTTTGATTGTGACTAGTATTCACTATGTTCACTAAAACGTCTTTTTTTGTTGATTAATGCTTTGATAGCATTTCCTTCCAATAAGTTATTGGAGCTTTAGCTCTTCTCTCTGGTATGTCTTAGATGTTTTGTTTTCTATAGGAACTCCTAACTGAAAGCAAAGGATTTTCTGGCAAAGTTCTTTTACCGAGTAGACTTTATGACAACTTGCTGTTCCTTTTAGCCGATGTCTAAAAGCAAGAGTAAGTGACAGCACACAGAGCTCAATTCTAGCAACTCCTCACTTGAGGGACTGGCTTCCTCAAAATCACCATGTGCCCTAGGGCCCAACTGTTGCCTTTTTTTTTTTAACATGAGCATTAAAGTCTTTGGAGTTTTAAGATTCTTTTTTCCAGGGAAGTTTATTGGTATCACAGACCACATTTCAAAAGAAAGCATGCATTTAAATACATAGTGATCTTTTTTTTGTTTTGGTTTGGTTTGTTTTTTTGGTACTGGGATCCAACTCCCGTAGTGATCTTTTGAATAACAAAAAAGAGGAAGAAGAAGAAGAAAGAAAGAAACAAAGGACAATTTTTAAAAAGAAAAAACAAGGAAAAGGTTTTTTAAAAACTGAGAAGAAAGTCCTTAGTAGCCAAAATTTGTCACACTAATGAAACTTAGGTTGTATGAAACATAAGGGCTGAAAAATAAGTATTTCCTTAAATGAGTGAAATGTAGTACTTCTTAGTCATCCAGTCAACTGTCAAATGTTTTTATTATTTCAAAGAAAGCTTCTATGTGTGATACTGTCTTTGTTACTCTTTTCTTTCCTACCTCAAACTCAGGGTATTTTCCAAATCTTCAGGCAGACACTGAGTTTGACAGTTCCTGGCCAGATTTTCTCTGCATGTTCTGTTAGAGGTTAGGAATCACAGGAGCCTAATCCTGTCAAGAGCCTCTTAAATCCCAGACTGTGGCTCCACGGGGCTGTCAGTGTGCTCCTGTACCCTGCACCTTGCTAAGAAGGAAGGAAGCAAGTGGCTACAGGACCAGACGTCAAAGGGGTGGAGCTCTGGAGCTGCCACATTACAGCACGTGCAATATGATCTCTGGAATTTGAGTTAATAGTAGGAAGTTCTAGAGATGTTCAATCTAATTTTTTATTTCCAAAACCTATACATTTAATTGCTGCTTTTCGTTACCTTCAAATCTACATACTAAGGAGCATTTTAATCCTCACATTTCTGTATAGAGTCAATATTTTAATCCAGCCCTCCACCCCACCGCATCCCCCACCCCATTATTTTGAGCAAATGGTTCACTGCTTCATCTGGACTCTGTAGGGTCAAGAACATTCTCCCCTAAGGTACTGGGAAGGCTTGGCCCAGCTCTGCTGAGCAGCAAATATGTTACTAAAGCCGGTAAAGTTCAATTGCAAAATCAAACAGCCTCAGGATGAAATCTATTTGGAAGATGGTAGATGGCCATCCATTCCCATTTGACTTCTTTTGTTGCCTACCTCCTATCCTGTTTCCTTTTGTCCCTTAATTTTACCTTGAAACTTTGGCTTGTTGGAAAGTGAAATTCAAGGTGAAACTTCACCAAAGCCACTGAGTTTCACACAGGCTCCACATGAAAGAGGTATTCTACCAGCCTTGCTAGGAACTTGCCCCATGTTTGCCAAAAGTTTCATGAATGTCAGTGAGCCTGGATTTGAAACATAATCCAAAGCCAGTTGACTTCTGGTGACTTTGAGGTTTTGTTGTATAAGTAGAGAATCTGTCAAACAAGGACATCCTTTATTTCCATATCTTCTACTGTAATTTCATGTGTATACACCTTTTTTATTCTATGATATTTTAGGGCCAAGTTTGATTCTAATATGAATTTTTATAGCTGTGGTATTTAAGCATTGGCAAATAGAAGTCTGCGTTTTAAACTCCAACATAGCCTGAACCACGTTGGTGTGAACATGTTGGTATAATTCAGCTGAAGGAAGTCTCAGGAGAGTCATGGAATGCCTTTCTTTGCTTAAATATACTTCTGTGCTTGTGAGGAATAAACAGTAACATTCTGTCCAGGTCTATCTGCTTGACAGTATGCCTTTTGTTTCCTCTCCAGAGGTGGTGTCAAATATATTAGTGGAAAAAATAATAAACTTCCAGATATGTATTTTGCCTGCTTAGTTGATGTACTCCTAGGGAACATTGTAAGCATTAAAAAGTTCAGTACTATTACTTGTAATGAAATGTACACTGAGAATAAAGAAGTAGTCAGTATTCGAGTCTATTTCCTTAAAAAAGCTTGGTGACTTACAGCTGATGTGTGTGTTAACAGTCAAATGGGACCTTGTTGTGAAGAGCTGTGGGCGTGTGTGTATTTTGAGTGAGGGCAGTGAAAAGTGGGGAGAAGGAAGGAGTTTATAAGCTTTGTTCAGCAGATCTGTCCCATCAGAAACAAAAATAACCAAAGCCAGGATCTGAAAACATTCCTTTCTTTTGTTGATCATATGAATTTTTCTTGGCTGAACACTGAAATTTTTTTGGATTATTTTTCTCATTAAAGACATCAAACATTAAGATTCCAGACATAGTAAATAATCTCCATTGAAAATATGAACATTTTGGAGAACTAAATAATTGTAGATGAACTTGCATGAGTCCGTCTCAGAAAGATCTTCATGTTTTTATGGACACTGTACAATGCAAAGCTACTTAGGAAACTACGATTTGATTCATCATTTTCTTAGTTGGAAGACTTGTGAACTCATTTGAGGTGTATTTGAAGTATTTTTATAAAAATGAGTTTGTGATCTCACTAAAGATTTAGTCAGCCTAAATTTAGTAATACTTTTAGATTCGTGATAAATTTAAATTGCTATCAAATTTCTTTATGAGCATTTTATAGTCACTTTTCTATTTAACAAAATGTATGTTTATTAAAGATACAATCATGTTTTAGCAGATGACTTGGAAAATGACTATAGTTGACTCCATTCTAGGTAAAATCTTTGAAAATTAGCAATAACAAAAGTTGAAGTTCCTAAAACTAGGATGTGGATTTTAACACTGGTTTCATTATTCCTAGTGTAGCGTTTCTCCGTGTATTAGACAAAAAACAATCCAGAACCATTTTACAAACAAGTGCCTTACTTAACATATCAAGGTATAGGAGTATGATCTTTTTAAAACATTGATCACCCATAACTAATGAGCTAAAGGAAAGGGGCAAATAGGCTAGATTGGAAATAAACACAAAAGTTGTGCATCTGCAAATGTTTCTCTGAATCATTAAAAAATAAAAACATCTTTCATAAATGACCTCATTTGACATCTAAGAATACAAAAATCAATGACTTAAAAAAGGTTGTGTGTAATTTACTGGCAGAAAAATGGAGCCCATAAAAAACATATATTGTTTCAGGATATATTACTACAGCCTAAATTTATGTACAAAGTACATTTGTTTTTTGACAAAATTAGTCTTAGTATGATCAGAACATGACACAAAACAGAGTTTCTGTCCTGATCAAAGAGGATTGTTTACCTGATATAGATAAAATAATCATCCTTAAAAAAATCATTATTCTCTAACTAAATTTTTATCTGTTTAGATTTTGTGGTTTCTATGAAATAAGAAGCAGTGCTTAAAATATACTTTAATAATTATGATGCCAAAACATCACAATAATCTTATAGCTTCTTCCACTTTTCTTAGATGGCCTCACAAACAGATGTGTATATTTCATGTAGATGTAAATGCAGAGACTGTCCTATGGCTAAGTCAGGTCTTCTGATTGCCATTTTCTTTCCTGGGGATTATCCTAGGGGATCATGAAATAAGAGACCTTAATGACCCTCCAAATCACTCCTTTAACCATTGGAACTGACAGTCCACTTGGGTCAACTCTACAATTAGAATAGAGAAAGGAATAGACTTGTCGGAAGGCTTACCTGAGTTTCTTGGTAAAAAAAAATATATATATATATATATATATATATATATAATTTTTTTTAAAATAAGGCCTTCTCTCTTTTTTTGTTATTTTCACTCCCTTTTGGCCGGAGAAACTGAGATCCCATTGTTGTTGAGCTGATTAAGGAGAAAGACATCCCAGATAGTTGCCTGGGCTGCAAGATTCACACATATTACAGAGCTAGTCCACGGCTCCCTGAGTTAAGAAAATATTTGTACGTGATTGCAGAAGTGTTGTATTTAATAACTGTTGATTTACTCACACAAGAATACAAATAAACTGAACATGAAGGTAGCCTTTCAGATCAAAATGA